AGGGTTTGAAAGCCTGTGCGCTCAGTGCGGGAAAGAAATGAATCACCTGAAGGAAATTCATTCAGCCGTCTTATCCCTACAGAGGGCCCAACAGGACATACACAGGTAACCATTTTCTCTCATCAAATCAGTGATCTCAATGGGCTAAAAATAACCTGTGGCATTAACTCCTCCTGCAGCGGCCTTTGGAGCGTCCTTATCAGCTGCAGGGGTGCAGTTAACAACTGTTTCAATAGGTAACCTATTAAAACATTGGAAAGGCAAAGCCACCCCCTACTTGAAACAGTGAGGAAATCTCTTCCTCTTAAGACTCCCTTTATGGGGCAAAAAGTGTCACCTCAGCATGTTAAGCATCTCCTGGCATTCGCAACTGCAAAACAGCTGCAGAAGTTGGGAGGGACTGGGCCAGGTCCTGGCTATAAATAAATCTCTGCTAGGCAAGAAGGCGTGGGATCTCCCTTCTCATCAAGTATGTTATGAATTTTCTCAGTTTGCTGCAGAGATGCAGGCGTGTGGTCTGAAAACTGGGCTCCATGGGTGAAAAGCACTAAATTCCCACTTTTTGTATAGAATGCTAGTTGCTGTCTGAGGTAAGCAGTGAGCACACCTGCTTAACCTACTGCTGGCAAAGGGCTTTGCACTGCAGACTCCTGTGGGGAGGGCAGGGGAGGTATTAGCTGCTACATCTGCTCCAGGGAGCCCTGCTGATTCCCCGTCTGCATGAGGAGTATTATCCAGCCCTCCTGAGGCTTTGATGGGGTGGGATCACGCATGAGGCCCACCATTTCTGGATGCCGGAGCCATCGGTGACATGGCTTTAGCTTTTCTCTGCTGCTCTTGGGGTTGTCCGGGGCCAGTTCTTGTATTTGGGAAGATCAGGGCATAGGTTTGTGAGTGGGTGCTGGATGAAGAGATTTCCTGGGGTTTGTGCCCTTACACCTTGTCATGCCAACCAGCATGCTCTGCCTGATCCAGCAGCAGCCAGAAGTACTCATCTTTCTGTTAAAAAGAGGGGAGGTAAAGTCTGCAGGACACAGTGCTGTATCCGTGAGGGTATCTCTGAAGTACAGTGTGGAAGCTCTGGGTACGGGCATACGTGTGAATGCACGCCTCCCTGCGACACCCAAATAAACATACGGCTTTCTTTTCCAGAAACCTCAGTGCTCTGAACAAAAAGTCCTTCCACAGGAAGGTCTCTTCTGAAAGCTTCCTCCTGGACTCTCGCTGTTGGTTTCTCCTCTGCATCTTTCTTACATGTCAACTATTCATTAATTATGTCTTCAAATAAAATCACTACGTTTGGCAGCAATAATGATTACTGGCTGCAGGAGGGGGCCACTCGCGCAAGGAGCCCAGCGAGGCACCAAAGCACTTTAGAACCAACGCGGCAGAGGTGGAAGAAAGTTGAGAAACGAGGTTAAAAAGGGACCTAGGAACCTGCAAAACTTTGTTCCTGCAGATTATGTCATTTTTGCCTTTTACATGTACATCTTCAAGGACCTCTTAACCTGTATGGGCCTTAATGCTGAAGCCAAATGTAGCTTTAATTGTGCAATTTGTTTTCTATGTCTTGTCATTTTCTGATGCAATTAATAATTACCCGGCAGTATTGGTACCCCCAAAATGGTAAACACCCCAGCATTTTGGAAAGGTCAAGTCAGCCTGGTTCATAGCTCTACAAGTGAGGGAGTGCAGCTGGGGAGCTGTAAAGAACTGATGTCCATGGTGCCTGTCCAGCTGCCTTTAATTATGGGAGGGAGCGCACTTGGTCCAAAAAATCCACCCCCGGGATATTAAGTCATGATCTGTTTTGTCAGCACACGCAGAATGGGACCTCAGGATGTGTTTTATTTTCCATTCCACGGGAACTGTAAATATGCACAACTTCCTAGAGCCTTCCCTTTAGGAAATGGGAAGTATTCAGTGAAAGCTCTTCGTTTGGTTACGGAGCTGACTGGTGTCCTGGACCAGGCCCATCGAGTGTAACGTCAGACATGCCTGTTCGTAAAACCTGGTCACTTATTATTATTGTTATTATTTGCTATATGGCTGTTTTATAATATCACACACTAGCATTGTAGAGAGGAATCCACTGCCCCAGGATAGGTGAGAAGGACGGGAGCGATATAGGTGTACGTGTGTTCGGTTGTAAGCACGTTTATTGTCAAAGGTTAGGAAGGAGGAAGGGTTTTGCCACTGCATTGTTCAACTCTGTTAATAGTCTTCCTATTTTACACCATTTTTTAAAGATTTGCAATATTTTCTGTAGACTGCGGACAATACTAAGCCTTTCTTTTCTGGCCTGAAGTAGTTCCAAGTGGTAAGTACTGCTATATATACAGCCTTAAAATACTTAGTGGTGGTGCCAGTCTGGGCTATCTTTCAATGTAAATGTTTCCAGATTTTTAAGTACATTCCTCGTCATATTCCCCAGTTAGGGGAAACCTGTTTGTGCTTGATATGTTGAAATAAAACTACACACAACTTTCAGTGGCAGTCTATCTGCAAAATTATTTGTGTGTTTGAACTCGGTTTTGTATTTTATAGCATTTTACAAGTAAACAGGTCTCAGGCCATGCTTTTTAGAGGAAAAGCTACAGGAAAAGGCCTTCAAGAATCTCAGACATAGGCTGTAAGTTAGAACAGCAATAGCATTTTGATACCACTCTGGCTCAAATTGTCCATGTCTTCTAATTGTAGCAACTTCCTCAAAATAGAAAGAAAAGATTTTCACTGTTGTACATGTAAATGTACAGACTTGTCTTGGACTTAGAAAGCCTTTATGTTAAGGAGGTAACTTGACAACAGAGAATAGATAGTTCCATGGAGAGAACCACAACTCTCTTGACATGAACAGACAGGATAAGAGCCGGCATCCGGCAGCTGACATTCGAGAAGTAGATCACAAATAATAAAGGGTGAGAGTGATTTCATTATTAGCAAAAGTCTCCAGAAAACCAAAGGATTCTTCATCCTTGAGGAATCATCCTTGAAGAATGTCAACATTATCAATCCAGATCAGGTGCCCTTTTGAAGGAAGTCATCCTGGTCACTCCTTTCTGAGGAAGTCTGACCCGTGCCACATGCAGCGTAAACCTCGGTGCGAGGGGGTCCCCCTGGTCTCTGCCTGTGAAAGAATGTCCAGCCGCTAATAATGCCTGCCTGGCTACGCAAAGTCCCGTATGCACCTTGAAAGCCTTTGCTCCTAATGCTGTGCAGACACGTCTGCTAATTTCCTGCCTAAATCTCCCTTTGAATGCTTCAGCAAGTCAGCACATCTCTGGCCTGTCAGCACAGCTGTCCTCATCGCACACATCCCCCTGTGGGACCACGTTTTTGAATTACTGATAGGAGCCTCTCCTCTTCTGTAGGGATATTTGCATCTCTTGGATACAAACGTATTCTGGGTTTGAGAAATAGTTCCTAAAAAAAAAAAAAAATCCCCCAACCCACCTGAACCAAAGAGAAGCAGTGCTGAACAGAAAGCCTTCAGTAGGTGTAAAGTGAATGCTTGACATTCTTTGGATCATTTCCATTTTACTAAACTACGCACCCACAGGGATTTCACTGGGACTTGTTACTGCAGTTAAACAAAACGCTGTTACCACGAGAGGAGTAGTTCAATGAAAGAAACTATTAACCTACATAAACTAATTACGCATCAGCAGAGGAAGAGTTTCCAACATTTACTGCTGCTGCCACAGGGCATTAAAAAATAGTCCAAAACGGAACAATCTATAAATCTTTGTGCCATTAATTTTAATCCAATTTCAACATCTGGAGGTGAATGTTCCTACATGCCGGTTATGCCCACATGGAGGATGAAAGGTATTCTTGAGGAAAACCGTGGCCAGAAATGTTCTTTCTCTAGGAGGAATAACTGCTGGTGAAAAAGTTAAGAGCCCTTTCAGGGCTTTAGAAAACCCAGTTATGCATCCAGTTTATGCGTTTTTGGAAAAATTCTTCTTCCGTCCTTTGCCCCTCTTTTTCGTGATCAGCGAGTAGCCCTTCAGCAAGGACACGTGAGCTTTGGGTGGAGAGGCACGAATCGGGCCATTTCCTAACATGGTTTCCTCCTGCTGCTAATAGGTGCAAAGCCTGGTACCGGGGCATGTCCTAACTCACGACGTCTTCCTTGCCCGCAGCGGGTGGGCAGCGTGCTATTGCGGCCCACGCTCCCTGCTTGCCGCGCTTCTCCTCCCCGCGGGCTCTGAAGGCCCGGAGCGGCGGGGGCGGGGGGCGGCCGCGGCCCGCCCCGGGGGCGGATAAAGGGGCGGTGGCAGCGCCGCGGAGTTGGGCCGAGGGGAGCGGAGCGTGCAGTGGAGCCGTGCCGGGAGCTGCTATGGCAGGCGGGGCGCCGGGCGGGGGGGGCGGGGG